GTGGATCAAGATGAAATGTTTTCCTTTTTTTTAAAGATTTATTTGTATTATGTCTGTGTCTGTCGGGGCCTGCGCATGTGAGTGTACATACCCATGGAGGCCAGAAGAGGGCACTGGATCTCGTGTAACTTGGGTGCAGGCAGCTGTAAGTCACAAGACATGGGTGCTAGGAACCAAACCTGGGTCTTCAGGAAGAACAGCAAGCTCTCTTAACTGCTGAGCTGTCTCTCTGCCCCCTAAACTGTGTGTTCTACAAGAGTGAGTAAGTTGTTTCAATTACAGTCTGTTCGGATCAGCAGCTTCTGTAAACAGTGCAGAGTTTAGGAGCCATCGAATGCCAGCCTCTGTGGGCAGCCAGCGCTGCATCTCTGAGCCCTGTGAGCTGGGCCTGCAGGCCAGCCTGCCTCCTGAGGCCTCTCCACACAAGATATGCTTGAGTTGTTTGAACTTGAAACTAACCAGTGGCCATGGGACCTTTTCCTGTTGTAAAGGCCTGGGCTTTTGTTCCCATGGTGATTTTCTCTGACTCCCTTGTTGGTGCCTGTGGTCCTGCTGCACAGCTGAGCAGATCTGTTGGCAGAAAGAGCCTGCTGCCAGGAGGAGGGAGTCTGTGGGGCATTTCATATCCTGCTTCCTTTCTTCCTGATTTTAAGTTCTGCACATGTAACGTCGAAAAGCACAAGTAATAGGAGAGGTGTGTATGTCTTGGAGTGCTGTTTGGGTGGTGGCTGCCTTCCAGCCCTGAGCAGTCAGTCATATTCAGAGCGATGAGTCAGAATCAGGTGAACTACTGAGTCAGAGACACTCGGGTTGTGGTGCTGTGGGATCTGGGCTAGACAATTAACATCTCAGCCTCAAATGAGCATCAAATAAGTGGGCTGCTCACCCTTCTTATTCATAAGACTTACAGAGAATCCAGAGAGGGAGAGTTCAAATAAAAGCCATGCAAAAGGGTACATAATATATTTTAAAAATATTTTATATGGAATGCATTAGTTGATTATTGTCCTTGTAGATATGCACGAATGGGTTATCTTCGATTCCTCAAGCATTGATAAAGATCTATAAAATCATTTTCCTTGCATGTTTAGACTTTGTGTACCATTTGAGGAATAATGCATATCCCACCATGTAAGAGGTTAGTCAGATTTTAAACTATAGAGAGCTCTAGCTGTAAAAACAAGAAGTCATTCATCAAAGATCACGTCTAATTGTCTGATTCCTAAACTTCGCAGAAAGCACACGAGTCTAGCTTGTGCAGTCCACTGTGGGCTGTGGAGCTTGTGTGTGAAGCCAGGCGGAGGGCATGAGTGGGCAAGCATGGATTGCTGTATTCCAGAAGGAGTTGGAAAGGTTTTGTTTGCAAGCACCGTTCTTTAATGCTGCAGGTTGAATCAGCTCCTGTTTGGAACAATGAAATGAAAAGAAGAACCATTTGTCCTGGCAAGCAGAAGGGGCTCTGAGCAGGACATGGTGTCAGGAAGTCTTTTGATTAGGATCAGAACCCAAGGCAGTAGAAAACGTGTTTGTTTGTTTGTTTGTTTGTTTGTTTTTTCCTTTTCCTTTTTATTTTTTGGGAGGAGGGGACAGCAAGAAAAAGAATCTTCAATGCTTATTTAAAAAATAATCAATGTACAGATTGAAAATGAAGTCTCATGTCTGTCAGGCAAGCATGAGAACTTGACGGTAGATTGCCAGAATGCACGTTTCTTTTGTTGTTGTTTTAACAAGTTGGGCATGGCAGCATGTGCCTATAATTCCAGTATGGGAGGAGTGGGGACAAGTGGGACACTGAGGCTCTTTGAATTGCTAGCCTAGCAGAATCCGTGAGCCTCAGGTTCAGTGAGACACACACACACACACACACACGCAGGTACATACATGCACACACATGCACACACACACACACACACACACACACACGCACCTGAAGGGCAACTGCATCAATGTTCTGATGGCCTAGGGGAATGGTACGTGTGTCTTTAGAATATCTTCACTGAACACCGCCAAGGTGTTTCAATATGAGTAGGAAAGAGCTTAATTCTTTTCTGTCTCCTTTGGAGGTGCTGAGCCTGCGTTAAGTTGTCCCCAGCCAGAGCTCTGTCTTTTCGTTCTAAATCACATGGTGCTTGGAAGGCAAGGGAGAACAAGACCTGAACAGGGCTGAGAGTGTCATAGGGCAGGAGAAGGGCTGGAGGGAGAGGGGATGACACTGGCTTCTTGGTCCTGACCAGTTGAGTCTGGAGCTGCTCTTCCATCACTGCTGAGCCTGGGGAAGTTCTGTGTCATCCTTTGCTATCCCAGTGTCATGTTGTGTGACTATGTTCCAGATGGTGCATAATGGAGATCTTATTTTAAATGGATGTCCAGTTGTTTCCTCAGGCTGCTTTTGTCTAAGCTTACTCTGTAGTTATAACAGCGCTGAGCAGCCAGTGGCAACACACTCAGTCATCTTTTAGACTACAGGAGGCTTTTGGAATTTAACTGGCACATAGCCGTATGGAAACGACTTAATTTCTGGTGATAGTGAAAAGACAACAATGACAGACAAACAAACACCCCACAAACAAGGAGCTGAAGGGGCTAGCACAGCCTCTGCTTTCCTGAAATGGAGCAATTGCCTTTGTGGTGTTCTCCCCGGAGGGAGGGAGACCACAGACAGCATTTAGAGGGAAAAGTTTGGGCGTGTTGGATCCCTCATTCTTTGGCCTAGAGTCTTTTGGAGAGTTAAGGTTCTCAGGTTTGCTTAGAAACCTGTGGTAGAATTCATAAATGTGCAGATTAACAATCTGAAACAAAATGAACAGCTCCATAATAGAGTGGCCTCAGGACAGCCTTCTTATTACAAAGCTGTAGTATCAGAGGACAACTCTCTCTCTCTCTCTCTCTGTCTCTCTCTCTCTCTCACACACACACACACACACACACACACACACACACACACACAATCTATTTATCTATTTTAATCTTTCCCAATGCAGGGCTTCTGTTGTACATTGCTGGCTCTCTTGAAACTTGCTTTGTAGACTAGGCTGGCCTCAAGCTCAGAACTCAAGAGATCCACCTGCCTATGCCTCCTGAATGCTGGGATTAAAGGCGTGCACCAGCACTACGAGACTATTTTTTACTTACTTATTTTTGGAGACAGATTCTCTTGTGTCTTAGGCTGGCCTTAAACTTGCTGTGTGGCTGAGGATAACCTTGAACTTCTGTTCTTTCTGCTTCTACCTTCCAAATTCCAAGATTACGGGCATGCAAAAGCACACCTAGTTTATGCAGTGCAGGGGATCAATCCAGTTTTGCAAGGAAAGCACTTTACTAACTGACTACAGCCCCAGCGTGGTCTCTAATGCTTTCCTGCTGTGTCTATTTATCTATGCACCATAGAGAACTCTGGTTCCAACATAATCTCAGTGTTGGAAGAAAAGGCTTATTTGACAAAATAATACTGAACAAAACAGAGCAGGGGAAAATATAGGGTTGGTTTGAAAGTATATGAAGCCTCTACCAATGGTCAGGAGTCTGAGTACCTTACCCTGATTTGTAGTGGGTGTTGATTTCCATAGTCAAAGCATGCATGCTACAGCTAGGCTCAGGTTCCTGATTACTGTCAACTGACGTAGAGTGTCTGTAAAGTTATCGGCTGCTTTTTGTGCTTGCAGGTGCTGAGCCTGCTTGCTTCCAAAGGGCACTGCCAAATCAAATAGCAGGTAAAAGATAAGTTATACAGGTTATGCATGACTACAAAGGGTGGGGTGCTGAGAAATGAGATTTGTATAAAATGGGACCCAAGCTGGAACGCTGTGAAGGCACACATAACCCCTGCCCCAGGCAACAGGAAGTTCAATTCCAGCCAGGATATTCTGTCAACTTCAGGGCAGGAACGGTAACGGCAGTGGGTGACAGGTTGTTAGGGTGTTATCTATAGTTCAGGTTAGTAGGGCAAGCTCTGGGAATGATGGACATCTTCTAGGCAGCATTGACGTTAGTGGTGGTGTTACCAGGCTACAGGTCAGTGAATCCATGGACTAATTTAAAAGGAAAGTGATTTCTTTGTAGTTTGGCCAAGCTGGGGAGAAAGGCTCTTAGTCTCTCTCCACCTTCCCCATAGCATTTGCTGGGAGCACTCTATGCCAGAAGCAGACAGACACATTTATGTCTTTCCTTAATGTCCGAATTTACTGAATAACAGTAAACTTGCAAGGTACAGTGGTTTTGTTAGCAGTTGCCAAGCGTCCCTGCATTCCCTGACAAACACATACCACAAAGCACAATAATACAAACACAGCAAATACATGTTACCGCTATATGTTTTGTATATATGAAATTTAGGTTACAGAGTCGCTACAGAGTGCTAAATGGGCCTCTGCATAAGTCAAGGGGTTTCAGAGGCCTACCAGAGGTGGAAGTGGAGGAGCTGATAGGAATTCCAAGAGTCTGAGGGTGTGCAGAGTGCTGTAATCTATAAGAAGTTGGGATTTGAGCTGATCCTATGACAGAGGCCGTTGAGGCAGAAGTGTGACTTCACTTCCTGCCAGGCAAGTTTTTATTCTTACTGTGTTTCTTAGGTACCCCCAGCATGGTGTTTTCTGGGGCCATGGTTCAGTAGTCTGATAGCTGAACAGAAAGCAGAGTGTTTCTCTCTAGACTATCTCCCTCCTACCTGGGCTTCAGCACAGGGTCACTGTGACAGTGGAAGCCCAGTAGAGCGACCTTCAGAAAATGTTGGCAGGTGGAGTGGAAAGATGAATCGATGGCTGCTTGGAAATTGTGAGAGAAGAGGAAGGAGGTGAGCAAAGAATCAAGGTTTGTCTGCCTTAGAAGCTAGATGGCCGCCAGCAGTGGTGGCGCACGCCTTTAATCTCAGCACTTGGGAGGCAGAGGCAGCCAGATTTTCTGAGTTCGAGCCCAGCCTGGTCTACAGAGTGAGTTCCAGGACAGCCAGGGCTACACAGAGAAACCCTGTCTCGAAAAAAAAAAAAAAAAAAAAAAGAAGCTAGATGGCCAGACAGTCTGCCAAGTCTGCCAAGACCACAGTAAGTTACTGCTGTGAGGGAGGAGAAGGAAGAGTAGACCCTGTTAATCTTATTTACTTATTTATTTATTTATTTATTTATTTATTTATTTATTTATTTAAACAGAGGTCTCATCATGTAGCCCTGGCTGCCCTGAAACTTGCTGTGTAGGCTGGTCTTGAACTTATAGTAATGTGCCTGCCTCTGTCTTCTAAGTGCTAGGATTTAAGGTGTGAGCCACTAAAACAGCTGTTCTAACCTTCCTAGTGCTGTGACCCTTTAATACAGCTCCTCATGTTGTGGTGACCTCAGCCATAACATTATCTTCATTGCTGCTTCATGACTGTAGTTTTGCCAGTTATGGATCGTAATGTAAACATCTGTGTTTTCCAGTGGTCTCAGGTGACCTCTGTGACATGGTCATCTGACCTCCAGAACAGTTGTGACTCACAGATTGAGAACTGCAGCACTCATGCCTGAGTGGGTATTAATTTTTTGTGGTACTTGGGATTATTAGTTACATATTTCATCACTACCACAAAATACCTGAAGCGAAGCAATTTCATTAAGGATTTGTTTTGGCTAATAGTTTTGTTGTTTTCTGTAGGTTTGGGGATATAGTCTGTCCCAGTGGGGAAGACATGGTGGCAAGAGCATGAGTCAGCTGACCACAGGCTCTGTCATCAGGAAGCAAGGACAGGAACCCTGGTACTAGCGTGCATTCACCTTTCCCTTTCTGGTCTGTTTGGGAACTCAGCCCATGGGAGTTGCTGCCTGTAATCAGGGTGGGTCTTCTGTGCTCAGTTAAACCTCTCTATAAATGTCCTTAGCAGTATGTGAGAGGTGGGTCCAGTCAGGCTGGCAATAAAGTTAACCACCACAGGATGCATGACACTCTGCTTTCTCAGAACCGTCCATGTAAATTTTGAGGAATGTATACGCTAGCTCCTGGAGATGGTTGGAAATATGGATCCAGAGTTTGAAAAAGACAGATGAGGGGCGGGTGGCAGTGACAAAATGATCAGTATTCAAAGAGTCACTTAACTCAAGTTAGTGAGCAGCCGTGAGTCTCTCCTGTGTGCCAGTCACTGTGTACAAGCTCACTGTCTTGTAAGGCAAGCACAAACTGTGAAGTTGAGTGAAATAAAATACTGTGAGCTTTGTCTAATGCAGGCTTGTAAGTCCAGCTACCCAGGAGACTGAGGCAGGAGAATGGAGAGCTCAAGTTGGGGCTAGCAAGATGGTTCAGCAGGTTTAAAAGACTTCCTGTGGCTGCATGATGACTGAGCTCGACTTTCGGAACCTGTGGTGGAAGGAAAGAACTGCTTCCTGAGAGTTGTCCTTTGACCTTGTCTCTGTTAGGCTTACTGTTGCTGTGATGCAACACCATGACCAGAAGCAGGGTGGGGAGAAAGGGGTTATTCCACTCACAGTTCCATATAACAGTTCGTCATCAAAATCACTGGGCAGAAACTCAAGCAGGGCAGGGACCTGGAGGCAGGAGCTGATGCAGAGGCCATGGAGGGCTGCTACTTACTGACTTGCTCAGCCTGCTTTCTATGGAATCCAGGACCACCAGCTCAGGGGTGGCACCAACCCACAATGGGCTGGATCCTTCCCCATCAATCACTAATTTAAAAAAATGCCCTATGGGCTTACCTATACCCCAATCCTAAAAAGATGTGTTCTTAATTGAGGTTCCCTCCTCTCAGGTGACTTTAGTTTGTGTCAAGTTGACATAAAACTATCCAACAAGGGGTTTAAAATTTAAAAGTTCAGGGCTAGAGTATTGACAGAGGACCTGTGTTCAGTTCCTAGCACCTGGGATGGGCAGCTCACCACTGAGTTCTTTTCTGGAATCCAAGAGTGGCTGCTCTTACATGTGCATGTATCCATGCACATGCACACACGCGCGCACACACACCACACACACACACACACACACTGATGTATACACAGAATTTAAAATAAAAGTTTTAAAAAGTCAAGACTTCTCTGGGTAACTTAGTGAGACCCTGCTTCAAAACAGACCAATTTAAAGGGGGTTGGGGTGGGGATGACTCGGTGGTAGAGTATTTACCTAGTGTTTTAGAAGCCTTCGGATCAGCCCCTAGTACCACAACAAAATAAAACAATAAAAAGCAGGACTTTGGAGACATCATTATTTAAGAAAACTCTGAGCCAGGTGACAGTGGTACACACCTTTTTATCCTAGCACTTGGGAGGCAGAGGCAGGTAGATCTCTGATTTCAATGCCAGCCTGGTTTATAGAGCAAGTTCCAGGGCAGCCAAAACTACACAGAGAAACCTTGTCTCACCCCGACTCCACTAC